CTTTTGTGATATGTTTTATTTTTAACAATTGAATATTTTATTTTTGATTAAGAATTCAATCATTAAATATTTAAATTTATATATTTTTAAAATATATAAAAAGTATTACACGCCATAATAATTGACGATTCAAAATACATATATGTAAAATATAAGTTTAAAAGTTGATTTATTTGAATCTCAAAATTTAAAATATGTAATGTAAAATTGGGATTGTAAAAATATGATACTTGAGTTTAATAAAATAAAAGGTAGCTTATAGGGGACAATTACTCAAGTTCATATAAAAAAATCACCAGTCGATTTCACAATCAATGTAAGACTATTATCTACTCTACACCCACGTTACACTTAGATCCAATTAGAGCGTGGACAAATAGTTTAAATGAAAATGAACTTGACCCTGATATAATGTAAAGCTAAATCAACATTAAAAATTACAAGGATCAAGAGACTTATTTTTTTAATTAAATTTTATGTCTGAAAATTAAAAGACAATTTTTACTTTCACAAAGTATCAAAAATAAGAACGGATTTTATACATTAATTTAAGCTGCATTTGTAGGGATTTTGAGTATTTACTCAGTGTCAGGGAAGTCTCGAGTATAAGATGAGAACTTGTGTTATAATTGCCTTTATCATATATTTAATCCAATTATTATTTCATACTTTTTTTGGTCACACAATCTTATAATTATCACTCCATTGTAAAGTAGAGTTATAATGGAATTTTTCTTTTTATGCTCCGTTGTTTAGAAAAGTGGTGCTAAAGATCTTTCCAAAACTAGACAAATTTTAAAATAGAGCAATTATAATGACGTGTAACGGTATACTAAGGGCCGGCTCTATTATAAAGTTATTAAAACAATAAATTTGGGTCCTACATTTTCTAAAGATGCGTTTTGTGCATATATATATTTTTTTTAATATATACTTATATACTATTTATCAAAAAGAAACTTTTGATGAGAAAGTAAAATAACTTTTTATGATTTAGTGTAGGATGTTACAATAATTGAAAAATAAAATAGCTTCTTCTGTTTTTAGTAATTATTGTGAATTTTTTTTAATGTGGGTACTTATTTTGTATGCACATTCATATCCTCTTAGTAACTAGCATTGAACCCACATTTTTATTATCCTTTACCCTACTCTCTTCTATTATTTTTATTAAATATTTTGAAGTCTAACCAAACCTTCTGTATTCTTTGAATAATAATTAATGAGTTGTTTGCTCATACCTTCTGTGTATACTGTGAATAATGATGAGTAGTTTGCTTATGAGAATATCACAATTAATTCTTTGGATGTTTCTTCTTTAAAATTTCAATCATTACGATTATCAATCATTATATACATTGAAGCAATGTAATGCTATTTTGATTTTATTATATAAATTTATTAAATTTGTGAGTCATATTTTATAATTATAATATGATATTTTTATATTAAGAAATTGTTAGTATTGATACATATGCTTACTTCATAATTATACATATTCTTGTTTTAGTAATTATTAAAATTTAAATTAGTCAACAAAAAATATATGAATTTGGAAATAAAAAACTATAAAATTTCATATGTAAAAATAATTAAGATCTCTTTATAAATTTTAACTTTAGGCCCTCAAAGTTGTTCAATCAGTTGATACTAGTATATTTAGTTAGCAGGTGTATGATCATCATATTAATTAATACATACACCAAAATGGAAAATGTTATATATATATATATATATATATATATATATATATATATAAATAAATATACTACAATATAAATTACCATAATACGTATTATTTTTGGATTTCAGAAAAAAAGGTTGAGATGAAAAAAGAGATTTTTCATGACAAGGATGTATTCAATGAAGAATACAAGGAAATGAATAGAAGCCTAAAGATATATGTGTATCCCCACAAGAAGGATGATCCTTTTGCAAATATTTTATTAGCAGTTGATGATGAACCATTAGGGAACTATGCAAGTGAGAGTTATTTCAAGAAATCCCTTTTTAAAAGTCATTTCATCACAAAAGACCCCAAAGAAGCTGATCTTTTTTATCTTCCATTTTCTATAACAAACATGAGAAATGACAAGAGGGTAGGGGTTAGTGGAATCCAAGATTTTGTCAAAGAATATGTAGATGAGATTAGTGAAAAATATCCTTATTGGAATAAGTCAGGAGGGGCTGATCATTTCTATGTTGCTTGTCATTCTATTGGAAGGTCATCAATGGAGAAAGCTATTCATGTTAAGTTGAATGCTATCCAAGTTGTTTGCTCTTCAAGTTACTTTCTATCTAGTTATGTTCCTCATAAAGATGCTTCCATTCCTCAAATTTGGCCTAGAAAAGGACCATCACCTACAAATGCTCCTTCGCGGAGGTACGTGCATTATATTTTAGTCCCTCATCACCTTTTTAGTACGTTCTAAAAAGAATCATGCCCTTCCATGTTTTATTTTATTAAGTAAACTTACTCTCAATTATGATATGTTCTTAGTTAGCTATATACAGCCATAGTAATATTATAACATATATAAATTATATGTTCTAACTAAGGAGATTTTTAATTTGTATAAGTCTTTCTTTCTTAATTAGGTAGCCAGGAAAACACAAACATGTAAAATTAAAGAGTTTTTATTTTATATATTGTTTGTGTAAATATCTTTTTACCCCATAATATTGAAAGGTAATTAATTAGTTAGTCTTTTTAAAATATAAGAATATTTAAACTCTTGCAAATAAGATATTCCATTGGTTCCACTTTATATGACTTACGTTATTCTAAAAGAAGAAAGATATATTTCTATATTTAGTACTTATAATTTAACTTTAGAATGCCTCATTTTGCTCTAAATAACATGATTTCTAGCCACACAATTCAGGAAAAAGTTGGCTTTTTTCGCGGGAGCAATGAACTCGAGATTACGTGAAAACCTGATTAAAACATGGAATAATGATTCAGAGATCATGGTGCACCGCGGCCGCATGAAAACACCATACTCAGAGGCGTTATTGAACAGTAAATACTGCATTCATGCTAAAGGGTTTGAGATTAACACTGCACGAATTGGTGACGCTCTTTACTACGGTTGTGTTCCAGTCATATTGGCTGACCATTATGATCTCCCATACGCTGACATTCTTAATTGGGAAAATTTCTCCGTCATTGTTTCATCCCTTGATATTCAAAAACTAAAGCAAATTCTTCATGCAATAGACTACAATCACTACGTGAAGCTTCAAAACAATGTAATGCAGGTCAAAAAGCATTTTCTATGGAACTCATTTTCCAAAGATTTTGATATTTTTCATATGGTTATGTATGAGTTGTGGATTCGACGAAGCCATTTGCGACACTTCTACTGATCAAATTCTATTTCTCAAGGGCAATATTTCATTTTTTCCTCATATGAATTGTTGGTGTTATTTGTATATGTTCTATTTTTACCTAACAAAGAACATTTAGCTTATGTGGAGAACTTTATTATATGCCTTAATTACCTAGTGTTCACGCACAAACTAGATGTCATGCTATAGTTTATTTATGATCCAGAAAAGGGTCTAAAATGACCCCTCAACTATTTGAATTGATGATCCCTAAATACCTTCAACGTCAATTCTTTAACTCAAAATAATCTTATGTCTAACTGTCTGTATTCATAAGATGGATGGAGGACACAATATTGTACCAAATTCCATAGTTTAAATGCATTTCGAGTCATATATCGTTAAAATAATTTAAAATTACTTAGAATTTAAGCTTATATAATTAAAATAATTTTAGATTCGATAGTAAAGAAAAGATAAAAAGGATAATCCTATACTTTTACACCTCCCACTCACCCCTTCACTGTTTCTCTCTTCCACTCTTTTCAAATTTGGATCTTGTCCACAATTTGAAATTTAGTTCTTTTTTGTCAACTTTTGAGAAAACAAGACACAAAAAGGAGGAAAATAACGACAACATACATATTGTCACACGACTTTATTTTTTTTAACAATAGTTAAGGTTGTGACGAGTCTTTTAAAATAAAGTAAAAGTAAAATATTTTTTTAGAATTGCTATTTGAAACTGAATTTTTTCTAAGTGTTGTAAGTGATTTGGTAGTTTCTATTTTTAAAGGAAATCACTCTTTATTTTAGTCTACGAAATTAAGATTGGGTAAGAAATTTCATTGACCTGGGAAGGTGTGAGACACCCCCGAGTCCTGTGGATTTTAGCACGGGCGATTTATTAATTCATGTTTGGCTAAAAATGTTTTTTTGGATAAAAAGCAAAATCAAGTTAGTTGCTAATTTTTCATATTGATACAATTTCAGAAAAAATCATTTTAGTGAAATTTTCAGTTTTGCACAAAATGACACATTGTTCTATTTTAAAAGATAGTTATAGTTATAGTCAGTTTTCTTTAATAGTTAAATTACTAACCAAATATAGTCGATTTTATTTTTTTTGTTCCAATACTCATTTCATTTATTTATTTAAGAGAGAAAAAAATTCTATATATTTTTTTAAAGGACTTACAAAATGACAGATTTATATTTTTTTGCAAAAATGACCAATTTTGTCTTTTGTTTTTGCAAAAACAACCTATTATTTTTGCTAATTTTTTTTTTGCAAAAATGACCAATTTTGTCTTTTGTTTTTTCAAAAACAACCTATTTTTTCTTTAGCAAAGAATGAGCTTACTTATCAATCCAACGATGAGGTAAAATTAAATTAAACACCACATTAATAATAAACATATATGTACATAATAATAAAGTATAACCATATAAAATTCACAATAGACTTAACTAAATCAAAATAAACATAATATAAACAATTGAATCAAAATATAAAAAGAACATGAAACATTAATTTATGATTAAATTGTGAAGTGTAAAAATAAATAACTAAATGTGATAACAAGCAAATAACGGAAGCAAATTAGTTGAACCACAAACTTACACAAAGATGAAATGTTTTTTTTTCTATCTAAGAAGACTTTCTACTTTCTATTCTTATGATATTTTTCTTCTTCTGATTTCCTGCTTCTCTTATTTTTTCCTTCTTTATTATTGTTCTTCTCTTTGAAATGAAAGAAGACTGAGTTTAAATAAATGGTGAATATTAATAATCACTTCTTTAAATCTTAAGTATAATCGCATGCATTGAACTCTTTGCCTTTTCAATGTGCCACCCAAGATGATCAATATAATTCTTTTTTTTCCAAGATAAGATTAATTAAAAAGTCTTTTAGATGACTCATTTCTTTCTTTTATGGAAAAGCAAACCAGTCAAAATTCCTAACATAATTATTAAAAAATTTTAAACTTTAAAATAATTGATAAAAATGTCAATATTTAAACTGCTATAATGTATCGTAATATAAGTTATTACGTTTCTTTTTTTCTCAAATTGGGTCCACTTTTATTAACCGAAAAAACATTACTACCCACTTTTCTCTTTCTAATTTTTACCCACATCTTGTCTCACTCTCTTTCACAACGATATTTCCTCTAATTCATACGTTTTTCAACATTCTTTCACATTTTTTCAAAAAAAAAATAAAAATAAATTCTCTCATTTAATATCCTGTTCATTTGTTTTTCATTTTTTTTATCTTCCGCTTCTCTCACTTTCGTAGCTACTATTTATTTTTCACAAATTCGTGATTTGTTTTCATGTTTGAGATTTTATAGATTGTGGTAATTTACATTGACATTCATACATCATATATTTTTTTGATATTTTATACATCCATATTTAATAATTTAAATTTTTTTTTGCTTGTAGGGTTACTAATGTACAAGTGAAAACTATTTAGATATGATTTTGGTAAAAAAATCGGAAGAAGAAGAAGAAGAAAAGAGGAAAAATAAAACATAGAAGAAGAAGAAGAAGAAGAAGAAGAGGAGGAGCAGAAGGAGGAAGAGGAAGAGGAAGAGGAAGAGGAAGAGGAAGAAAGAAAGATGAAGAAGTAGAGGAAGAGGAAGAGGAAGAGCAAGAGGAAGAGGAATAGGAGGACGAGGAGGAAGAGGAAGAGGAGGAAAAAGAATAAGAAGAAAGAAGAAGAAGAAAATGAAGATGAAGAGGAAGAAGAGGAAGAGAAAGAGGTAGAAAAAGAAGAAGAAGAACAAAGAAGAAGAACAAAGAAGAAGAAGAAAATTGTGTTCATATCAGAATTGTATTCATATCAGAATTGTATTCATATTAGTTTTTGTTTGTTAATTATTTTCTTTTACTCAACATTTGTATTTTTATTAAGAATAAGAATTTAGATTGTGATTTGGTGAAGAAAAAACAACAAGGAACATGTCGGACAAAGTAGAAGAGTGTGAGAGAAGAACGTTGAAAAATTGTATTCATACGAGCATTGTGTTCATATTAATTTTTATTTGTAAATTGTTTTCTTTTACTCAACATTTATATTTTTTATTAAGAACATTACATTTCTTTTTTAGTTTGTAGTCATTTCATAAGGTATGCCAAATAAATTTGTACTTTCTAAGCAAAGATATATCCTATATTTTTCCACAAGCAATTTGTATTTTATTTTTAGAATATTATATTATTTTAAATATGTATTCTATTTTTTTGTAGAATCTTTATCCCTATTTATTTCACAATCAATCTGTACTTTTGTAGGATATTGTGCTATTCCTCAACATATTGTATTGTTTCCACCATGTATGCTATTTTTTCAGAATCTTGTATCCTTTCATAAATCACATTTCATATGCAATGATTAAAATATATTGGGATACACTGAGTAATATTTTTATAATATAAATGAAAGAAAAATATAGTTGAATATCATGTCTGGGATTCAATTTTTAATTTTCATTATGAAAGTAAAATATCAATTTTAATTTCAATGGTAAAGTGAACAAATAAAGTATAAAAACTATGGTATACGATTACTGATGATAATTTTAAGTGACATGTTCCTTTTTTTAACAAATTTTTTTATCTCCCTTGATTTTCTTGTTTCCATTATTAAATAATAGTTGTATTCTTGTAAATCAAACAAATAAAAAAAATTTAAATCAGATAAATAACAAACTAAAATAATGAAATTTTAAATAAATACTGAAAGTGTGGCTAAAGAACCCTATTAAATGTCAAAATATTGACATTTTGAAAAAATTTTCATTAAAATTTATTAATTGAATAATAACTAAATAAGTAATCTAAAAATTTAAAATAGGCCCAAAATGTAAATCCGTTTGATCAAGACCCCAAAATCAAAAAAAATAAATCAATCCACTAACACAAAATCCAAACATCTAAACTATTTTGAAGATCATACACAACAAATAAGGTAGAAAATAAAAATAAAAAATAAAAACAAAATATAAACAATAAAATTCAAGAAAAAACTTCAACATGATAAGACTTAAAAAAACTAACAAAACAATATAAATTCGGCATCAAAATGAATAAAGAACTCATGTGTATTGCATGTGAATAAGGACTGATTTGCATTGCACATGAAAGAAAGACTAGTGTGTATTGCACATGAATGCAATATCGATGCGTATCGCATGGGATTTGGATTTGTACATCTTTCTCATGAAAGAAAGGATAGTACGTTTTGCACGTGATTAAAGGACGAGCGCGTATTTGCATGAAATTCAGACTGGTACGTATTGCACGAAATTCAAATTGGTGCGAATTGCACAGAATCAAACTGGTGTGTATTTCACATGAATAAAGATGATGTGTATTCCACATGAATAAAGTACGTGTGTGTATTGCATGGAATTATATGGGTAAGTATTGCTTGAAGCTCTCGAATTGAGAGAAAAAATGTGAATAGAATGAGATAAAACAACAAACATGTAAAGACGTTGGAGAACTTCCTTTTTGTGATATTTCATTCTTGACTTGTAATCCCGCGTTTTCTTTTGTTCCTGTATTGAGCAAAATAAAAAGAAAATTGTTAGTTTAAAGTGGTGGTTGTTGTGCCTTGATGTTTCCATTGACTTGACCATAATCCAAACCAATTTCTCTGACTCTACTCCGAATCCTTTATGACCAACATTTTAAGCTTCCTCTTTGTCAATTCAGGGGCCTTGATCTTTGGTACTACCAAATATCATGGTATGACTGATGTCCCAAAGAATAAATTATTTTTCTAAATATTTTTTTTCATAAGTTAAAGAGACTATACCGTGTTACTTCACGAGTTTTCAGTGAAGATCTGAGGGTTTTTTAGTCCTTTCTTGATGACATGTCAACTCAGATACTCAACTTTACTTTTTGGGAATCCCAGTAAGCTTTGCAATCTTTTACCTCAATTTATCAAGAGATTATATCGAAAAGACTAGAAAAATATCATACTTAAGGGCGTGAAAGATTGGATCAAGAAAGACTATAAACTTAAGGAAGACAATTCCATTTTTAAGAAAACTTAGAAAGAGAACTTATCTGGAGTCATATGTCGATTTTGAGTGAACCATGACATGCACTTTGGACTTGGTACCTGATCCGTTTGAGTTGTCTAGTTCTCAAAATCTGAATCATCATCAATTTAAAACTGATCTATGTATCCTTTATGTAGAAGTGTCGAGAAATGGTCATCTTTGAAGATTTCTTCCAATTAGTCATTTTCATGATGTTCTCTCCTTTTATCTTAAGGTTCCTACAAGAGTTTTCACCGATAAGATCTTGCCTTTTGTCATCTTATGGTGCCTATGAAGGTTTTCACCGATGAGACTCTCTCATTTCTATTTTTTTTACTTATGGTGCTCACAAAGGTTTTCACTAACAAGTTTTTTTGCTCAAGGGAAAAGGATCTGGAAAATATTATTACTTTGGCCGAAATTGTTACAACGATACAACTTTATGGAGGATCTTTTACCCCCTGCATTATTTGATAGTGTATTTTAAAGGTATATATGTGACCACGCGACACATTAATTTATAATTATTCAACATTTATGATGTCCATGTGGGCACATATATACCTTTAAAATATACTATTAAATAGTGCAAGGGGTAAAAGGTCCTTTCCAAAGTTTGGTATCGTAACAACAATTTCGGCGAAAGCTCAAATATATTTTAAACCTTTTCCTCTTTACTTAACAATGTTGTCTCTGATGATCAATTTTCCGTGCAAGACACATTGAATCTATCATTTTTGGAGTTGATCAAACTATCAGTTGTTAGAATATAATCATAAACGAAATTACAATATGATACTATTTTATCAAAATAAATTAAAAAAAGTTCCCTAATTTTCAATAAATACTGGAATATTTTTTTTTGTACGACCGAACCCCAAAGGGTTGCCTACGTATCCTTTTGGAATAAGGTGAGACGTAGTTCAAATTTACAAAGAGAGGATTTTTTTGGAAAGATATGCCTTTCTTCTCTCAAACTATAAACTTTCCACAGTATCTTAGAACGCATATAGATGTAGTATTTTTTAAATGCGTCTGCATTAACAATCATTCTTGTCATTTTCCCTCCAAATCCGTAAGGTGCAAAGCTCCTTTGGAAAAAACTTCCTTGATAAGATATGGATCTTGCCAATTTGGGGCAAACGTTCTATTGGCTTCTTCTTTGTGTTGGAGAATGCACTTTAATACCAGTTGACCTACTTCTAAGTGTCTTGGGTGCACCTTTTTGTTGTATGCACGATCCATCCTTCGCTAATGCAACTAACCAAAACAAATGACTGTCTACCATTTCTCATCTATCAATGTGAGTTCCTCTAGACAGATTTTGACCCATTCAATTTCTTCAATTTTGCCTCGACAATAATTCGAAAAGATGGAATTTGGACTTTCGCTAGTATCACAACCTCAGTTTCATACACCAGCAAATAAAGAGTTACACCAATCGAGGTGCACACTATTGTGCGTTAACCCAAAAGTGAAAAAGGTATTTTCTTATGTCATTGTCTTGTCCTTTGAACCATGTATGTATCCTTCACATATCCGTTGGCTTTTGCTCGGTATGGAGTAGAATTGTGATGCACAATTTTGAACTGCTCACATTCTTTTTTCATCAAACTTAAAAACTTGATGTATAGTTGATGGGACTGCCTAATCCATATGATCCATGGCCTTCCCAATCAAAAATTATAATTATGTACATTACTTGGAAAAAAATCATAAATTCCACCTGTCTAATTGTCATGTTTAACTCGATTTCACCAATGATATCCCACCTTCAGACGTCATAAGCTCGAACAATACATTGCTGCAGAAAATTCTATCAAGGTTAATTTTCAACCTTTGCAGTGTAGAAAGAGGACATATGTCTACCCCTGATACCCCATATATCATGACCCTTCTTACATAGTGACCTTCACATTTCACTGTAAGAAGAAAAGCTTTGTGGTGTAAATCTCCCTAAGTAGGCAACTCATCATTAGTGAAAGTGGTGATGTTTGACTCAAAGACGCGCTTGAGAATTTTCTCTTCCTGATTTACCATGGTCTCCTTTGATACATGTGCTTTATTCAAAATCTTATTCAACATAGGAAAATGTTCTGAGTGCAAGAGTAGAGACAACGGTGAAATCTGTGCAGGGTTTTCTTTAATTGTTCCACAACAGAGTAATCTGGAACCTGATTATTTTTTAGAAGCTCTTTTGCTTCTTCCTCTCTAACTCCTTCATTCAGTGGTACTTGGATATTTTGAGTCATCTTCCCTTTTCTTGATTCTTTTAGAGAATCACATCTTTCGAAGCTTATTAGCCCTCCCGCTTCATCAACCTCTTCAACAGTCTTCTTTCCTCGGTAACCACAACAATTTTGTAATAGTTCCAAGGGACAACCTTTGAATCAGTTACTAGAAGCTGTTGGACGGGCTTAACAAAGATGGGTTATTTCA